TCCTCCTCCTCCTCCTCCTCCTCCTCCTCCTCCTCCTCCCGGCTCCTCCTCCCGCTCGGAGGGCCACTCCAGGTCAGCAGCGCGCCCCTCCGCCGAAACAGCGCGCCGCTGCCGGCCAGGCGATCGGGGTCGTCTCGTTCGCCGCCTCCGACGACGGGCGCCGCGCCCTCGTCTCGCAAGGGGGATCCATGCTGGGCGCCGGTTCCCGGGTCACCGACTACGTAAGCATGGCCTGGCACACATGGACCATCCGGCACGCGCCCACCGCGGGCCCTTCATCTTATGGCCAGGGCTCTCATAGCCCCCGTCAGTGTTCTGCTCCTCTGCTCAGCTAATTCATCTGCTCTCTCATACCAGAAACTGCGTTTTGGAACTATTCAGGATTGCCAGGGCGCAACAGTTACGCTGATTCGCGTTGCAGAAGTCCCAGGAATTGTGTTCTGGCGCGATTCAGGATCGTCCAGACACAACGGTCAGGTTGATTCGTGACGTTGGAAGCCCGCGAACGATGTTTTGGCAAGCTTCAGGGTCTTCAAACGGCTGCCTCCCGACGGGGCACTTCCTTCAGAGGAAATGAATCGTTGTAGGGGCCCAGGAAGAGGGAGCTTGGGGGAAGGGTTATTCCCAACATTGTTGATGAGTCTTGGGCTTACACTGGTCCTTCCCCTCCTCCTCCTCCATCTCCTCATCCTCCTCCTCCTCCTCCTCCATCTCCTCATCCTCCTCCTCCTTCTTCTCCTCCTTCTCCTCCTTATCTTCCTCATCCTCCTCCTCCTCTTCCTCCTCCTCTCATCCCCTCCTCTCGTCATCATCATCATCATCATCATCATCATCATCATCATCATCATCATCATCATCATCATCATCATCATCATCATCATCATCATCATCATCATCATCATCATCATCATCATCATCATCATCATCATCATCATCATCATCATCATCATCATCATCAGCATCATCATCATCATCATCATCATCATCATCATCATCATCATCATCATCATCATCATCATCATCATCATCATCATCATCATCATCATCATCATCATCATCATCATCATCATCAGCATCATCATCATCATCATCATCATCATCATCATCATCATCATCATCGTCGTCTGCATCATCATCCTCATCACCATCATCATCAGCAGCATCAGCATCAGCATCAGCATCAGCATCAGCATCATCATCATCAACAACATCATCGTCATCATCGTCATCGTCATCGTCATCAGCATCATCATCATCATCATCAGCATCATCATCAGCAGCAGCATCACCATCCCTCATCCCTCATTCCCCATCCCTCATCCCTCATCCCTCAACCCTCATCACTCGTCCCCCATCCCTCATCCCTCATCCCTCATCCCTCACCCCACATCCCTTATCCTTCTCCTCCCTCCTCCCTCATTTGACTCCTCCTCCTCCTCCTCCTCCTCCTCCTCCTCTTGCAACTTTTATACCCCCCCTCTCGTCCTCTCCTCGTCTGCCGCGGGCGTCCTCCGCCCCCTGCGCGGCGTGCGACCTGCAGGCCCTCGTATGTCATCCGCGTGAAGTGCGCCGGATGGCTGGACAGGCAGTTCGGAAAGCAGGAGAGCATCTGGGAGAGCTTCTGCGCCACCCTCGACCTCGGCTGCGGCCCGCGGCGGCGAGCAGACGGGGGCGGGGCCTCCCGTGTAGGCGTGCTGTTTTGTGAGGGCCGGGTCTGCCGTCAGAAAAGACCTTACGAAGCAGGAGGGCATCTGGGAGAGTCTCGGCGCTTCCCTCGACCGCGGCCGTGGCCCACGGCGGCGAGCAGGGGGACACAGGGATTACCTCGGGGAAGACCTCCTCGGAAGGGTCATCCGCCTGTCAGAGGACGTGGCCGAAGCTGTCGTTCTGAGCCACCCTCGGCCCCTGCTGCAGCTGACGGCGGGGGGCTGAAGGGGCAGGGTTTCGTGGGGGCGGCCTTTTCAAATGCCCCTCCCCCGCCTCGAGGGCGCGGGGGCGGCCTTCTCAGATCCCCTCCCCCGCCTCTTAGAGGGCGTGGCCCGAGGCTGACTTTCTGGGGCGGGCCTCCTCACAGACGCCCGGCCCATCCATCGCCCTGCCCCGGCCTCGGACCTCCGACGGCGTGACTTTCCCTGGCCATCCTGCGGAGGTGGGTCGGAGGCGGCGCGAACCTGGATGGCAGGCAGGCACATCAGATAGGGGGCCGCGCTTCAAGGGGGCGGCTCTTTCTTCGGCGAAGCAATCGACGCGCCAAACGCGCGTCAACCGCGAGCCGCGCAACACGCGCGCCAAGTAGCCGTACCAAACCAAACCCGAAGTCTTCGGGAGGCATCATGGACACCGCAGAAAGCCAGCACCGACGCTGCGTCGTGACCCTGCAGCTAGCCACAGCAAGAGGGAGGCCAAGGGGGGGGAAGGAGGGCGGGAGGGACGAGGGAAGGGGCACGAAGGAGAAGCTGCTGCAGGCGGCGTGCTGGGGGCGGCCAGGCAAGAACAAATGGATGGTGCCGTGCGCGAGCATCGCTGCTGCAGGCGGCGTGCTGGGGGCGGCCAGACACAAACAAATGGATGGTGCCGTGCGCGAGCACATGTCGAAAATTGGCCGCAGTGATGCCCGCTGGCGACCCTGCCAGTGTTCGGGGCATCAGATGAGCAGGAAGGCTCAGGAACCCAGGCGAGCCGGCCGAACCGAACCGGACGGAACCGAACCAGCACGAACCGAACGTTTTGTCAACAGGAACCGAACCGAACCGGAACCGAACGAGACCCAATTTCGAACCGAACCGAACCGGATTCGATTTCGAACCGAACCAGGCCGAACCTGACGGAACCGCACCGAACCGGACGTCTCCGGGGCCTTGAATTTGCAGACGTGAAGGAGGAGGAGGAGAAGGAGGAGGAGGAGGAGGAGGAGGAGGGCAACGAGGAGGACGGGGAAGAGGAGGGCAGGACGAGCAGGATAAGATAAGATAAGACTCGGCTTTGCGCTGTGTCTGATGATCCTCACCCCCACGAGCCGTGAGCCTTCAAAGGGCTCCTCACGAGCCAGTACACAGGTATGTCGGCACAGGCGTTACCTTGTGCCATCCGACGGACAGAATATTGACGTAGAAGGCCTGGAGACATTGAGACATGTCTAGAGCGGACACATTACGCAAGAGATTTTGCAGTCATTGTCTTGTCGATGGATATTGCGATTGACCCAGTGTTAGGCAACATGATGGTGCATGACACCCTTGAGATTTGGAAAGAACATATACGCGCTAAAGGAATTGCTTTGTCAGGCGGAGGGCCACCAAGCGAGACCTGGTCAGCTATCCGATGGGCCCTGGATAGGGGGCCCCCGCCCCTGAGGTCAAACGATGATTACTGGGGATTGTTGGCCGTGACCCCCAGACAGCAAGAGCAACTTCGGGTTGGAAACGAATTGCTCGGAGCCATGATTGAGCTTTTGGGGGGTCACATGCAAGGGGCACATGCTGTTGGATGGAGCCCCCCCTTTCCCGCCAGCTGGCGCCAAGCTGCAGTCAGCTCATTTCTATATGCACCTCTACGGGCTGTGATGGCGGCTCCGTCAGCAACTACCACCGACTTTGACCAGCGCGAACACGGCCAGCAGGCCCGAACACCAACGCGTATTCTTGCACTACGTGTGGCGACACTCTCAGACCGACTACTAGAGACATCAGGCCGTAGGAAGTGCTCTCACGGACGCGGGGCTCATGAGGTCCTCATGGGGTTCGATAGGACACGGAACGAATGGCGCACTGCCAAGAAGAAGACCTATCCAGAGGGTTTAGGTCGGATATTGGCTGACGCGACGGTGGATTGCATAATCCATATGTATGTGACATGTGCCGACACTACCTATCCCCTTGACATGCAAGAAGATGAGGCAAAGCTCCGAGCTGAGTTAATTCGCTTTTACGTTGAATGGGACCCACACCTAGGTTTGGACGAAGGATGGGCACCAGATTTTGTTTCGCCCAAGGCAAGGAGAGGCCATAATAGGGCCGATCCTGAACGTCACCGTTTTTTGCCACCCGAGCCCCCACCAAGTGATCAGCAGGCCGAGGGTTTACTTTTTAACCCAGTGGCGGAGCCACGTCCAGTGGGCCCACAAGAGGCTCACGAGGAGTAAGCCACAGCAGACGTAGTCACTTTTCTCGAGGAGCCACCGACAGAGCGTGCGCCACCGACCCCTATCCAGTTGTCACCGGCGACGCGTGCTCGCATCGAATCGAATCGGATCGAAGCCCGCAGGCGACGTTTAGAGAAGGCCAGGCGGACACGAGAGAAGCACCTTAGACAGGTTGCGCCATAGAGGGACGATCCCACGTTTGGACGTAACATTTTCAACTTGTAAATGCGCGTGCGTTTGTGCAGTTGTGAAGTGGAATTCGGTTGAGGAGCGAGGAACCCTATCCCCTCTCTCCCCTTGCATGCTTCCCTCCTTCCTCTCATCCAACAGCGTGCGTTTTGAGTTTCAGTATATGTGTCTCTTCACTTTCAGATGCCACGCTTGCATTGCTATCGGTGGCCGCTTGAAAGAGAGTCCCTCTCCGCCCGCCCTGACATGCACTTGAAGTTCGAACAGGTGCTCCATTGCATTGACGCTTCCCTCTTTGCAGCGGTGTAACGACACGAAGAGGCTCTCACGCTCGGCCCATGTCGGGCTTGCGGCCAGGGGTCCACGTGAGGTCAGCCGGACTTAATGGCACACCCGTAGCGTGACACACGTGCGACCCCGAGCGTGCTCTGCTTACCGCCCGCCAGCCAGGCGCTGACGGATATACACCGTTGACGCCTGCTGTGTTGCTCCATCTTTTGTTGTTGCCTCTCTGCACTCTCCGCTACTCTCTGTCAAAGGTAGGAGGCAGGAAGTCAATCAATATCGCGGCATTTTGGCCGCGCTATGTGCTGTTTGATGAGGCAAAGATAACTGCCCCTCGCCCTACCGTCCCTCCGTTTTGACGCCCAATGAGAGGATGCGAAGATAGCCTGCAGGCTCGTGTGTCTCAGGGGAGACATCTCATCACATGCATGCAGCATTGCACGTACAGACACTCACTGTCGCTACTACCCAACAATACTGTCACGGCCAAGGTTGTAACCTGTGACTATCGAGAGTGGGAGGTTTTGTCTTCGAGTAGGGTACCTTCCTGCTCGCTTCACGGCTATCAGGCAGGAGAAGGATCTGCTCAGTATTCAGTATCGCGCCATTTTGGCCGCGCCGTGTGCTGACCTACAAGGCGAAGATACTTGCGCTTCGCCTTCTCTGACTCCCCGGGTTGCATGTTGCGAGAGTGCGAAGAGGGACAGGACAGCACGCCCGTGTGTCACGCTCGTGTTGCTGCCCCGTTGGCCAATGCTTCAGGGGATGCACATCGTCGCTTGCAGGACCGCCCAGCTGTCTTCTGCCCTCTGTGCTATGCAATTGTACAGTGTTGACCACGGTATTTAAGCCTGTGCCAGTCAAGGGTGGGAGGTTATAGTAGGAGGGGCGAACTACTGCCCATGCGTCCTTGGAGCCCGTGCAGAAGTTTTTAGTATGACTAATATTATGCTAGCTGCAGCGCCACCCAGTCTCGACAAGCCGTATGCTTCAGCGAGGAGCCAATCCAAAAGTCCTCCCCCTCCTCCCGCCTCCCTTCTCCCGCCTCTCGCCTCACTCCTCCCGTTAGTCGTAAGTCATCCGTTGTCGGCGTCGAGTTCGCTATCGTCGTCGTCGCCGCCGCCGGCGCTGTCGTAACAACCACCAGCATCTGGAGCGCCTCGGATCAGCGGCACTGGCCGGAGGCCATTCAAATATATGCGCCCATGTCACGTCGCCGCCTTCTCGTCAAATCTCCCAAGCTACTCCTGCCCCGCATTGCGCAGGGGTTGGGTACGTCGCCAGGGTATTTTTTGCGATTCTCTCTCAGCGTGGATCCGCATTGGGTCTCAACCTGCTGCCCACAATAACAGTGGGGGCGTCAGAAATCAGCACTGTAATTACTGAAGGTGAGGCCCAGAACTCCGACGTTGCGATGCTCTCACAGCGTGGATCCGCATTGGCTCTCAACCTGCTGCCTACAAAAAACACTGGCGCTGCCTCTTTCGGCAGAATCGTGACAGTGGGGGCGTCAGAAATCAGCAATATAATATTGAAGGTGCACAAGAACATTGGGGTGTCCTCCCCGAACCGACCTCGATCTTACACCTCGGTCCGACTGAACCCGGCGCCTGCGGATCCATGATTATGGGTGACTTGGGAGGGCTTGAACGCGATTCGCAGGAATGGGAAGAGGGGAGAGGATCTTGCAGAGGCCGCGCCCGTGCACGCGCCTGGTATTCTGTGTGTGAGATGGTCTTTGCTCATACACAGACTGACGAAAGCAAGGCTGGCAACATGATTCGGCACGATCAACCAGCCCAAGCGCGGCGGCGGCCCCCAAACACCAGGAGCGCCCCAGATCGACGGCACAGGCCAGAGGCCACTAAAGTATACAAATCGAGGCTCGGAAAGTGCAGAGAAAACGCGCAGAAGAAGCAGCCGCCACGTTCTGGCCCAGTAGGGAACAATCAAAGAAAAGTGCGAATACTAGATTATTCCGAGCTATCGCCCAACAGCTGCTCTCTCGAACTAGGCGCCTCGCTCCCTCTTCGAGCGCCTTCCGGCGCGCCGTCAACGCCTGCACAGGACATACAAAGTGGTGGAAAAGGACCCACGTTCGAAGATCAGATCTGCGGAGGATTGGCTCCCGGAAAGGCACGCCAGCATCCACCTCAGAACCTCGCGGCCACGCTGCTGTCGCCGCGGGCAACTCAGCCGAGCAGCAAGCGTGAGTGCTGTGGCTCAGACTCACGCCGCTCCCATGGCGCAGATTTCAACTGGGAAGCTCGGCAAAGGTTGCCCGAGGGCAAGCGGCTGATGTTCCTCCTCCTCCTCCTCCTCCTCCTCCTCCTCCTCCTCCTCCTCCTCCTCCTCCTCCTCCTCCTCCTCACCTCCACCTCCACTCCGCGCCTTGATCTCTCCTCCTCCTCCTTTCCTCCTCCTCCTCCTCTTCCTCCTCCGTCTCCTCCTCCTCCTCCTCCTCCTCATCCTCTCCTCCTCCTCCTCCTCCTCCTCCTCCTCCTCCTCCTCCTCCTCCTCCTCCTCCTCCTCCTCCTCCTCCGCCTCCCGCCTCCCGCCCTTCTCCCCGTGCCCTGCCGAGCGCCCGCCGGCGGCCGACGCAGCCGACGCCTTGGCCGCCAGAAGCTGCGACGTGCCAGCGACGCCGCGCGCACGAGCAGCGGGGGGCGCGCGGCCGCGGCCGCGGGGGCGGGGCCCGCCGCGGGTGCTGCTGGGATTACTCCCGAGTACGATTAGAGAGGACACGCGAGAGGACACACAGCTCTTCCGAGGGCCACGGTGCCACAGGAAAGCCGAACATGACACAAGGTACCCTCGATTTGGCAGGGTCGCCCTGCTAATAAAAAACGTGATTGCAGGCTGATTCGGTCCTACACGCAGATGGACGCACAGCGCGGGACGGCCCACCCGCTGCGAGTTCAAACTATCATGGGAGACAAATGTGAAGCGTGAAGCGGCACGTCGGCTAGCACGCTTGCAGACGTCGGAGCCTGAAGCTGCACGCAGGACATGCGGTGGCCCGTAGGCAAGCCCCGCCACTCTCCTAACCCAGCGCGAGAGCAGCTTCTGGGTCGCGGGAGGGGAGGCGCGCGCGAAAGCAGGCCCTGTTGATCAGAGTCGAGAGCTCTGGTGGCCCACGTCGTGAAACATGGCACTATGCGGAGCGCGCTACCACTCGTCCTTATCCATCAGCGTGGATACTTCTGCGTCTCATCGCGGAGAGGTGCAGGAACCCGGTAGACTTGGAGCCGGGCGCGCATGGACCCGTGGGACGTGATGGAACTCCTGAGTCGCAGAACTTGAACGCCCTCCAGTGGATGCCGTTGGTATTCTCAATGTCGAGGTCAAGGTCTGTCAGCCTCACGCTCTTCTCCGCCAACTGCTCGATCGTGTGGGCATGTAGCACCGCGACGGTTCGGAGGCAACGATCCAGGTGGCCGCCGGACTCGAGGACGGTCTGCCAAAATTCGTCGGCATCAAGCTCCACCATGGAGCAGCAAGACCTGGCCACAGCGAGCCCTGGTGCCTCCACTGCACCCACAGAAACCCACTGCAAGGGCATCACGGACGTAGCCTTCCGCTCCTGGTAGTACTTGACCGCGCCCGTCACCAGCACGTAGGCCGTGCTGCTCTCGATGCCGTCCAGGAAGAACTCCTGCTGGCTGATGTACCGACTGTCCGCCATGCAGTCGTAGCAGATCTGCAGAAAGCACCAGGGGTCGAAGTGGTGCACGCGCCCCAGGAGCTCACTTTTCAGCAGCAGCGGCAAACAAAACTCCCTGCGCAATCGGATCTGGATGGATACCGGCAGCTGCGTCAATATCGGAATTTCTGCCTCGGTCTGGCACTCATTTCTAGTCTCCCCTTCTTGGTCGGAGAGCCGCAAAACGAGCTGATGCAGGGACGACGGGATGCGCTTGCTCCTCAAGAACATCATCAGGTGATGGCGCTCCCGCACCCGATGTAACTTCAGGGACTGCAGCTGATTCAAGCTGCTGAACATGCTGCTGAGGAATGATGGGAATGCCACGAACCCAGTCATCACCACCAGGATCGCGAAACCGCGCTCCCAGCCATTGACGGGGGGCGATGTTGTTCGTGGCCAGAGTGAAGTGGGTAATGCTCCAGTGAAGGCTGCCACGTAGCAGAAGATAGGCGACTCGCTGACGAGATCGTGTGCCTCCACCCAATTCCGCGCCACAGGGCGGGCCTGGCGTCACCACTAAACCTGCCGAGGCCCCACCACGCGCAGGCGGTGTAGTGGCAAAGACACAGGAGGATGAACACCTTCGTCGCTATTTGCACCACCAGATCTACGAGGTCAGCGGTGTTCGCCCGCATCATAGCCTTGAACGCCACCATCCACTTGTGCAGGCGGGCGAGGCGGACGAGGCGTAGCAGCCTCAGGAGCCGGACGGTCCGCGCGGAGTAGCTGAAGCGCCAGATAGCGAAGGCGACGTCAACGAGCAGGATGGCCAAGTCCAAAGGGAACCAAGTTGTGGCAGAAGTCCTCGCTATCACCGTCATCCTCATCTCGAGATGGCGCGCGGTGTGATAGCCCGTCACGGCTTGGAAAGCTATGTCCACTGTCGAGAAAAATATGCTGAAAAGAAAAAGCCCAGCGGGGCAGGCCAACCGCTTCCATCGGGATCGTGAAGAGATCGAAGAGCAGAAACGACATGCCAACAATACACCAAATGAATCGCACAATACTCTCGGGATGGATGGTGAACATATCCCTCAAGTGCCCTGACCTCTTCGCTTCATACCCGTCGTCTGCACTACCATAGCCTCCTGCACTGACGCGCGAAACCGTGAATGTCGATGATGCTGACCGGCGCAAGCCTAGGCTCGCTGCGGGCGCCCGCCACATCGGATGCGGCTCGAACAACGGATCGTCCGTCCACCACCCCGGCGGCTCATCACCTCCAGGACCTCCCGGAACCGCTGCGGCGGCGGAGCGGCGGGCCGCCCCTGCGCCGCGTGCCCGCCCTCGCCCCCGCCGAGGCCCGCGCTGGGCTCGCCGACCGGGTCCATTCGGCGGCGCCCGCGCGGCGGGGCGCGCCCGCGCGAAGGGCGGCGCGCGCGGCGCGCTTGAGCCAAAATGGCTAGGCACTCGAGGGGGCGGCCTTTGGGCAAAAGGAAGGTTTGTAAGGACCTCTGGAGGGAGGATTGGGGCCGGGGGGGTTGTTGCAGAGTCGCTGGCGTCTCCTGAACGCACGTTGGTCCCATCAGGGCATAGCGTGGAAGCCATGGCCCCAAAGTGTGATACGCTGGCGGACTCACCCCGCCACCGGCATTCAGTGTTCCCTGGGCTTCGCTGGGAGCCCTCCGAAGGCGTCTGGGGGCCCTTCGGAGGCGCTTGGCCGCCCCAGGGCGCGGGCGCGGAGGCGGCCTTCGGACGGCGGCCACCGCGCGCGCGCGCGCCGAGCCCGGGGCGAATCGCGGGCGACGGACTCGCCCCACGTGACGAACGTGCGGCACACGCCCTGCCCGTCCTCTCGGCGTCGGGCGCGCCGGGAGACGGGGGACGGCGGCGGGCCCGCAGAGGGAGCGGGCCCTCCAGAACGCTTGTCTGAGCCTTCTCCGAAAGCACCGACGGCAGCTCAGAAGGCCGGGGGGATCCTGAGAAGCCCCCCGCCTTCGGAGACGGCCTGCCCACTTTCAGTGAACCTCCCTAACGCGCTGCCGAAGGGGGGGGGAACGGGAAGAGGGGGGGGGGGCGCATCGTGGCTCGAAGCACGTGCGCGGACGAGTGGGTGCCAACGGGCGCACAGAAACAAATAGACGGGGCAATGAAAATCGAGAGATGTCATGACCCCGTCATGACCCCGGCCGTAGTATCCACACACACACACAACCATCCCCCCGTCTTGTGGACATCCCCGGCAGCGGGCGGGGGACGGGGGGGATGAAGGAAACAGGTCGCGGAGAAGAGGGGTCCAAAAGCCTTTCGCCGTTCGCGGGCCCTGGGGCCGTCAAAGAAAAAACTCCATATAAAGAGCTGACCCCAGAGAAACCCAACACCCGACGTCGCGTTTTTTCCAGAAATGGTCCCTCTGAGGTCTGGATCCTTTCCCTGGGACAAGTTGTTCGTCCCAGGTCGTTTTTGACAGCCCCGGGACCTGGCGAGGGCCCCGAAAGGCAGAAAACATAAAAAATACGTGATACTTGCGACGCTAGGGGGTCTGGGGAACCCCGGGGTCTAGGACCCGTTTCCCCCTTGTTGGTTTGCTCGCCATGCCGCGGCAGAAGACAGAACGAGAGGGAGAATCGTTGTACGTAAAGGTCCAGGGCGACACACCCAGCGCGGGGCGCCCGGTTAAAAAAACGACGACGCGCTTTCATATAATCATGGATGAAACGCGATTATGATCATGGGTGGTGGCCAGGATTGCGTCATCAATAAAGACCGTAGACACAACGCAGAGCATCTGATCGCACCATTCACGGTCGAAGCGAGCGTAGAATGCGCGCATGGACCCACTGGCTGACCAGCTACCCTGGGACTGCACCAGCTTTTCCGGCAGTCGGCACACTGTTTTGCACCAGTGGGCGCCCCCTTTCTGCAAGCAGTGCGACCCCACAGTAGAGAACCATTTACTCTGACGGAAAGACCCCTCATGAAAATCCTTTCCGGCCAATCTGGAAATCACCTTCACTGTCGTCCTCGCGATTAGTGAGGCGCCCTTATTGCCTCCTCTGCGTCATTATCATTCTCGCCCTGGCGCAGGGCCCTCACCCGCTCCCCGCGTTGTCCTTGCCTCGCCCTCTGCTGTTTGTTTCGTCACCCACCACCTCCTCTCCTGTCTATTGAAAGTGCGCGCGCGTCGATTCTCCTCGACGCCATCGCCGCCTCGGCCAGCGCGGGCGCATTCTCGAATGGCCGCGTCGCGCGGCCGTTGGGACAACCCCGCGGGCGTTAGTGGGGTTCTCTCCGGGCACACGATGGGTTACCACCGCCAGCCCGGAGACAAGGATCGGTCGAGGATGGGTTACCACCCCCGGCCCGGACGCAAGAGTTCCCCCCTGCGCCCGATTCGGCCGACGATGGGTTACCACCGCCAGCCTGGAGACAAGGGTTTCCCCCTGCCCACGATTCGGCTGACGATTGGTTACCACCGCCAGTGCCCCCGCTTCGACCGAGGATGGGTTACCCCCACGGCCTGGACGCAAGGGTTTCCCCCTGCGCCCGGCCGCCGTCGTCGTCCTCACCTCCTGTTTCTACTCTTCCCCCGTCACCTGATAGGTCGGGCGAATCGCCCTCTGAAGAGCGCATAGGGAGGGGGTTCCTGCCTGAGACTTCCTCGCAATTCACTCACAGACGAGGCTCCCCGCCTGGTACCTCCTCCATATCCAGGCCTCGGGAACCCAAAAAAGACGACAGATACAGGGCTGAGGATGACCCGCTCGGATTAAAAACATGAAATACGGCTCCCGCCTGATACTTCCAACATACTCAAGCCTCAGGAACCCGAAAGTGACGACAGTTGCAGGCTCGAGGATGACCCGCTCAGATTGAAAACATGAAGCGCGGGCCCCATAGGGAGGGGGATCCCGCCTGTGCCTTCCGATTAATTTACTCACAGACGAGGCTCCCGCCTCGTCTGTGAGTATTCAGGCCTCAGGAACCCAAAAGTGACGACAGTTACAAGTTCGAGGGCGACCTGCTCGGATTAGAAACCTGAACTGCGGGCCACATAGGAAAAGGGCTCCCGCATGAGACTTCCTCACAGTTCACTCACAGACGAGGCTCCCGCTTGATACTTCCCCCATACTCAAGCCTCACGGGCAAAAAAGTGACGACAGTTACAGGTTCGAGGATGACCCGCTCAGATTGAAAACATGAAGCGCGGGCCCCATAGGGAGAGAGCTCCCGCCTGAGACTTCCTCGCAATCCATTCACAAACGAACCTCCCTCCTGATACTTCTCCATTTTCAAGCTAGCGAATGAGTGGGTGAGTGAGTGAAGGAATGACTGAATGAATGATGGCCATGGTGGTGAATGATGGTGACAATGATGATGATGAGCATGATGATGATGATGATGAGTGCGTGGGTGATTGAATGTGTGATTTAGTGATGGTCAAGGTGATCCAGATGGTCGGTTTGTGAGTGAATGTGAATGTGAGTGTGTGAATGATGACGATGATGATTGTGATGACGATGATGAATGAATGAAGGAGCGAGCGGGAGTGAATGAGTGAGTGGGTGAGTGGGTGAGTGAGCGGGTGAGTGAGTGATGGTAATGATGCTACTGATGTTGATGCTGATGATGTGGTGATGATGCGTTGATGGTGATAAATGTGTGCGCGATGGCGTCGTGATGACTGACCGAATGAGTGGTGATGAAGATGATGAGTGAGTGAATGGGCGAATGAGTGTGTGGGTGATGATGTTATGTGTGTTATGGTTCCTGCACGGGGGATCCAGACAAAAACAAAAACCCCACTTTGGACGCAGGGAAAAAACTGCGCCAGGCTCCTGCGGAAAGAAGCGCAACTCACGGCGCGACAACCTAAACGAGTTGTGCCGGAAACAAACGTTTTTGGGCCCGCGCCCCACCGGATGTGACGCTGCGCCAACAATTCCCGCAAAAGGTGGCATGGACAATAGCGTGGGCTGGCCGTCCATGCGCGGAATGCGGCGCGCGAAGCCCTGACCGAAGGGGTAGTATTTTTCTGGCCGGAAGCAAAAAAAGGCTGCAAAAAATCCACTTTGCGACATGTCCCGACGCCAGAGCGCCAACGTCTCCGAACACCTAACGCCACCGAAAAATATCGCCGCCATCGCTTCCTCCCGGACAGCGGCACAACTGCCTGCTTTGACGCAAGCAGTCTGGTGATCCGCCAATCCCGCGCGTGAGTTTGAAAGAGCCCGAGCTACAGCCCACAGCCTGAGTTTCAGCTTTGCTGGGGGGGGGGGGCCAAGGAAAGGGTTGGGGGGGCGCTTGTGCTCCCGTTTCTGGGCGGGGCTGGGACATGGAAAAAACTGCCAAATTCCCTCCCAGGGGCCAGAAAGCCCAAGATGGCCGCCAGATATTTCCAAGACGGCTCCAGATGCACCCGAGATGGCCCAGGATGTCCTCCGCACAAAAAAATCCGAAGAAACACAAAGCGTTGATGTTCTACTTGCTTTTGAAGCACTCAGGCGCTTCATTCCTTTTGGCCTTCCGACGGCCCCAAAGGCCCCCAAGATCGCCCCGGAGGCCTCCAGGGTGGCCCCATGACGGCCCAGGAGGCTCTTAAGACGGCCCCAAGATGGTCCCAAGACGGCCCCATTGGCCCCCAAGACAGCCGAGATAGCCTCCAAGACAGCCCTGAAGCGCCCCCAGTGCTCCCAGACGGAACAGCGACGCGCCCACGACGGCTTCCGACGGCGCCCAACGGGCCAGGAACGCCCGAAGACAACCAAGAAAGCTTCCAAGAAGCCCCCAAGAGGCTCAAAGACCCCCTCAAGAGGCCTCCTCCCACGACGGCTCCTAGAAGGCCTCGAGACGGCCCCATAGGCCTCCGAGCAAACCTGAGCACCATCGGGAGCGCCCCAGATCAGCGGCACTGGCCAGAGACCACTACAGGAATGAAGCTCTTCCAAAGACAAGGCGTTTTGCGCGTGACCGCAAATGGTCAGCCCGTTTTTCAAACTGTCTCAAAACTGCGCTGATTGGTCGGCCCATGCGATGTCAAACTGCGTTGTCAAAGGGCGCCGCTGGTGCCAGCAGCGCACTGCGGCGCGCACACTGGTGACAGGAGACCAAGACTGGCCGTCCATCTGTACAGACAGGAGCACGCATTTCACGTCTGGATCACGCGGCAACATCTGTAGGCCAGTGGAATTTTCGAAAGCATCCACGCTTGCGCGCACGGAGATGCCTTACGATTTGTCGGCACTATCCTCCCATGCTGCGCGGAAGCAAAGGTCGATGGTCGATATGGCCCCACCGCGGTGCGCCCCGTTCCGCAGAGACGCTTTCGCGGACTATAGACAAAAGGTCGGGACCCTCACTCAGAAGCTGGCGCGCGCCTGGCGTTTCCACTGGTGGCATTGGACGCGTTCGCGTTTCCTTGCGGGGCTCGCGGCAGGCGTGAGCGATGGGCCACGGAGCCAGCCTTCCTCGCCCGAGCCCTGCGTTCCCAGAGATGCCAGGCATGACTGCGAAGACGTCGCGCGGAGCGCCGGCCCCGGGCGGGCCCGACGCGCCGGCGCCGCGCGAGCCACGGCGACCCTGGGCCCCGCTTCATCTCGAGCCATAAAAACGGAGGATCGCCGCTGGCAACCCGTGACGACACACTAACCAGGGGCGGCAAGAGGCGGGGATTCCAGCGGCGCCCAGGGGGGCGAAAAGAATCTGCCTATCCTATACTTTCAACCACTCTGTGGGAGATAGACGCACGCGCAAGTCCAGTTGTTGACCCGCAGCGCCTGGGCCCCCAGATGCCGTCGCTGCTTGTAATGCCATCGCACCTGGCGACCGCTCCTGGGCGGCGCGACCTGTAGCGAGGTCGATGTTTCAGCCCTGGTCGACCTCCTGGGCGACCCCAGCTAGAACCGCCGCGCGGATCGCACATTGGGGCGCGACGCGACCCTCCGTCGCCATGTCTCATCTGAAAGGGCCCTCAAAAAATGGCGGGTGCGCTGATGGACCAGATGAAAATCAAAACGCGGCGTAGAAAAATGCCCGGGGACATCCGCGGGAAAAGGACAGGGTGGGTGACCAAAGTGACCAAAGCGAACGATAAATTTCCCAGCCATGACGCCAGAGCCGCCCCCAAGCACCGCAACAGCGGGGAAAGGCGGCGGGCCAGAGGAAGGGAGGAGGGCCGAGGGGGGAATAAGAAAGAGGGGGCCCAGCACAGCCGAGACGTGTGTCCACGTCTACGCTTCCGGCGGCAACGACCCACGCTGAAGCACGATGGTGGGCCTCTCGGTAGGCCGCGATTTGTCGGTCGGCGGAACAGGTCCCACCTGGCGGCCCAGTATTGTTCCTAGGCCATGTGGCGAAAAAGGATGAGCGGAACAACAGGGCTGCTGGGTCGTCTGGGCGGAGAATGACAGCGCGCAGGGATTCGTCATCGGCAACGGCGGATTTGAAAAAAAATGTTCCATTGAGCAGTAAGCACGGCGGGTGCGCCCACACCACGTGGTCATGAAGCCCAGACTCAACAGTGGAGAGCTCTGGAAAAAACGCTCGGGGGCGAGGGCTGTGATGCCGAGTGTGTCTGCAAACATGCCCTGGGGGAAGTGAGCGCTGCATCTCGATTCGACCTCTTAGAGCAAGGCCTTGCGAAGCACGACGTCCCAGTGCTAATCCCCGAACCAAGAATGCGCAAAGTCCAGAATCCAGGAGCCCGCGTCCGCAATGACGCTGTTTCTGCATGGGGTAAGCAAGGCCAGCGCCCAGCATTGAGTTACCCGCTCGTCACTCTCAAGACGATGTGCCAAATATTCAAGGAAAAGAACCCCTAGCGCATATGAGCGTAACGCACGGCTGCGGACTTGTCCAGTCTGAACAAGACCAGCCAGTCTTCAAGCGGGACGGTAACCTGGGAAAGCACTGAACTGCTACCCACAACTCCTTACACCTGATTTCTTACGAATTAGATTGTGCCTCTGCCCGGGCCTCGAAATTGCCTGGCCACGTATCAGAGACGGCGTGGCTGTTCCAACACAAACGGGACAACCACCAATGCATTTTGGAAGCGTCGCACTCCACGACCTACCTGGATTGCACCTTTGCGGGCTTGGTTCGCCCAGTCAGCGAACTCAGGAGACTTGTGACCCCACATGCTGAGGGGGCCACCGTCGCAGTGCAAGGAACGCACTGGGTGTGTGCGCAGAGAAGAAGAGCAGACGTGCGCCAGGGCCGCACGACTGAGCTCCGAAAGAATTACCGGCGGGTCGGCCAGAGGGCTGGAACGCCATGCCGAACACACCCCCGAAGCGAGAAAATCAGCCCGAAGAGGGTGTAGCCGGCAACGCAGCTGCGGAAGGAGCTCCGCGATGTGCGAGGCCAACCCTACTGCGGATGGTAGCTGTTTGCTGCGGAGTGTGCGGCATTGGCCTGCCCACAGAAGGACAGCGCACAACTCGCAACAACGTCCTGTCTTCTCTGGCAGAACTGCGATAACGCACCCAACCGCAGCGAAAACCCAGTCGATCCAGGCTCGTGGGCGCGCCGGGGCTCGAATCCCTCCAGCTTTGGTGCCGACGGGGATGCCACGCTCCAGCTGGAAACGAACCGCTTGGCACCGGCTCTGCCGAGCCGTACCCTCGCCCTGCGCTGAGCCTAGAAAGTCGCTCACGAATATAAAAATCAACTTGCGTGCTGGAACGGACTATTCTCAGAATCTCCGCACGACCGCCAGGGACGTGCGCGCTACGCTGGGGAGCTCGCCCTTGACTGTGCCGGGGGGGCGGGAGGGGGGAGGGAGGGAGGGAGGGAGGGGCAGGAGGGAGGGGGGGAGGGGGGGAAGAAAGCGGAGGGGAGGGAGGGGGGGAGGGAGGGAGGGAGGGACGGAGGAGGCAGGGGAGGAGGGACGAGGGACGATGGACAGAGGGAAAGGGAGGAAGAGAGGCAAGAGGGGGGAGAGCGGGAGGGAGGGGAAGACTCTGTGGATTGCTCCCAGCGCCAGGCATCCCCACGGAGAGGGGAGGACTCCTGGGCGCGGGGGATAAACCCATCTGGGTGGGCGAGCTCCACTCCCAGGCCAACTGCGCCAATGTGTCGAGGGAGGGAGGGAGGGAGGGGAGGGAGGGAGGGAGGGGGAAGCAGGAAAGAGGGAGCCATACGTCTGGCCATGCGTGCTCAAGTCCCCCACGCAGAGCAGCAGCCACTCCACATCGTGTCTGCGTGGAGCAGCGAGGAGGATGGGAGGAGGCCGGAGGGAGGGATGTAGAACGGAGGAGGGAGGATGAGTATAGAAGGGAGGGAGAAAGTGATACTCGGCGTTTCGACATTGGGCGGAAGGGGGGCGGGGGGCGGGGGGTCTGGCTCCGGACCTCTGCTTCATGCGACTGTTTGCAACACTGCGTCCTATGGGGGAAACTCCACCTGCTTGAGACAGGCGCCTAAAACAGCCAAGATCTACTCCATCGGGGGGGGAGGGGGGGTGCGAGGGCCCGCGCCGATCGGCAAAACAATGAATAAGAAAACGATCACAATGAGGACGGGATGAGGGTGGAGGAGGGGGATTCGGCCAGGATGTTTCTCCCTCCTCCTCCTCCTCCTCCTTGCCTTCTCCAGCGCAGCCAGGCAAATGCCTCCTGGAAGGGACTGGATACATCTGCTGGAAGCCTCCGAGCCCTTCTGAGAACGCCCCGCCTTCTTAAAGCCCCCCTTGTCTCCTTAGGAAGCCGCCACCCTCGCGCCACCCCCTTGCGCGCGCCGCCGAATGGGGGGGAGCAAAAAGATACCGATACCGCAACTCCCCAGGCCTCCGCCGAGGTGCGTTCCAATCAGGAATTTCGAAGGGCATCCAGCCGTGGTGACGAGGACTTTCTGGGACGAGCAGCGGCGTCGGTGGCTGCGCCTCCTCTGAGCTTCAAGATTTGTTTTGGGCCCCCGGCGGCCACCACCCACAGCCGCCTCTGCAGCAGCAGCCGCAGCGATCCCCCCCCCAAACGCCCCCCCCCCCCCCCCCCCCCCCCCCCCCCCCCCCCCCCCCCTGCGACTGCGTCGGGGCCTCCGTCCTGCTCTCCCGGTGTCCCACCCCATCGGGCAGAAGGGGCCACAAGGCAACGAGCCCCAGCCGAGCTGACTACAGTCGGGCCTAGGCCAGAAGAGCATCTTCCAAGAACATGAGACCCGCCGCTGGCCAATTTGAGGAGCATTCGAGGGACCCTCTCCCAGGATGCAGAGGAACACCCAACAAGCACGAGGGGCATCAGTGCACCCTCCCCGAGCCGACCTCGCTACCTCGGTGCGGCTGTGCTTGAATTGGATCCTGTCGGGCCGATGGCCGAAGGTTCGAAGTCGGGCTGGGTGAGCTCGGAAGGGGTGCGTAATCTAACCCGAACTCGCTTCGCGACAGGCGTTACTCAAACCCACCCTCTCTGCTCCAGCGAGCTTTTCCCTCCATCCATCCTCCCCTCCCGCATCTCCCTTCTTCGGGCGGGCGAGTAACGGCGAAACATAAACGTTTTCGCGGGTGGATGCGCCTGGCCAAGGGCGGCTTGGAAATTTGTACTCCCACTGCCACCCCAACCTGCCACCGTAGAGGTACAAACTTCCCAGCCGCCCCGGGACAGCCACCCCCGAACGCGGAAAAGCGTATACCGCCTTTCGCCCGCTATCTTCTTGCTACGCTCACTACAACATCTGCCTCCTCACTCCCACAACCTTCATTTCTTCCTTTTTCCACCCTCTCCTCCGCCCCTTCCCACCCCCCCTCAACACTCTCAGGAGCTTCCTGGGAGTTCCGCTCACAGGATTGTCCCACTGGGCACGATCTGCGAGCTGCCCAAAGGCACGCGCACGGCAGCGCTAGCATCAAGCAAAAGAGTCCCACCCACCCCCCTTTGTCCCTCATGGCCTCTTGGCAGCGACCGAGGGGCCTGCGCTGGATGGGCCACGAGAATATGTGTCAAGAGAAGGGGACGACGGCAACATCGAGCCGCGTCCAGCCGTGGCGACAAGGAGCCTCCTTTGTCCCAGCTTCTGCGGGCCAGAACCAGTGCCGGGCCACCTCAGCCCCCCAGCCGCCTCCAACCTCTGTCCCTTCCTCATCTGTCCCTCCCTCCCTCCATCCGTCTTGAAGACAAGAAAGCGGGGACCATGACCAAGACTGAACGCTGAAACGCCGTGCCGATCTTGGTCAGCGTCGATCTTGGATCGTCCTCGCGCATCTGCGACGGCCTAAATGGACCATGACCAAGATCGGCATCGACAAACAAAAAAACACGACATCTTGGCTGTCCCCGTGTGTCTTCCCTCGACTCTCTCATTCCACCACGTCCTCGGGAGTGTCGGCCTGGATGTTCAGGACCTGGCTGCTCAAGCCGGGCATCTCCTCCGAGGTCCTCGCGATCCGACGTGGCGGATTGCATGCTCGCTCTCGGGACTCTCCTGGAGACGCTCGCACCGCTCGTGTGTCGACGCTGCGTCGAGAGTCCGTTCACTCAGAGCCGAATTCGAGCAGAGTCAGAGTCGAGCGGGAGTCGAACTGGAGACGACCTGGAGTCGAGCTCGAGTCGAGCTTGAGCCAAGCTAGTATCGAACAAATCGCCTGGACTAGAGGCCTCCTAGATGGGGTCGGAGAAGATGGGGCCGGGGGATCGCGCCGCATCGCCGATACATCGGCGATGCATCGGCGACGCATCAGCGATGCACCGGGGATGCATCGTCGACGTCGGCGATGCATCGGCGACGTCGGCGCGGAGAAAAAAA